CTTTTTAATTCTTCCAGGCTTGTGACGATTTCAATTACCGTCAAAATGTGAAAATGTCTTCAAGGTTTATTATTTATACCTGATAAAAAATTCAGTGTTCTGTAACTAGGCTAATTTTTCAATCAAAACCGATTCGAGGCCTTTCGTATTACACAAATAATCGAATTTTACAGGACGTTGGGTAAAGCGATCAAAAGATGTCTCTATGATGAAAACTCCGGGGTTGAGGAAATTGAACTTTTCTCCTTCGCCTTCAAAAATTTCGTATATTTTTTATTTTTGTCTCTTACTGAGGTAGTACTAATTTTAAAAACATCAATGTAATCACTAAAGCCGGATATTTCTATAAACTATAACAGTTTTATATCCATACTTCTCTCATATGTATGTGGTTTAAAAATTAGTCCATTTATCTTATTCCAATATATATACTCTTTTCTTTACCAGGTACTTAACAATTTATCTAAAATATATATTATTTTAATCATCTCTCTAGCTCTGATTATGACAAAACCATTTTGCCGTAGTGCACTTCTTTTATAATTTTGGTTTCTCGATATGCCATAAAATTCATTTTTCGTTCTTCTTTAAGAAACACTCATAATTTTTCCCCGCCATCAATTTGTTTTAAACATTATCTCTTTCTCCAATGGCACTACAGCCAAATTAGTGATGGTGAACGTGGTGATTTTTAAATCACGGCGCGATCATTGACCGTGATATTTAAATATTGGTGATTTTAAATTTTTTAAGTATCATAAATTCCTAATACTCACCGTTGGTAAATTACGAGATGTTAATCACCGTTTTCCAAATCACGTTCACCGAAAAGATCATAATATTTATTATGTAAACAAGTTTTGTGAGAAGGTGATCGAGATTTGATATCTGATATCTGGTCACCAAAATTACTGATCAGGGTTATCGAAGTTAGCAATAAACGCTAGTTATCTGTGATTTATAAATCACCGTGACTGAATCACCGTTAGTGAAATTACGTCTCATTACTAGCCCAAATCGAGATTTGGCCTTCAAACTTGACGGTCTTGCGCCTATCTTCTCCAGGTTTTCACGTCTAGCAAAATTTGTGCGTCTGCTACAATTTTATCGTCCAACTTTTTCCGTGGTCTTTTGTTTGCCGGTTTCCATTCTCACAATTCCATTCCCAAATGTTTGTACGTTTTGTTATATTGTATTCGCTCTCCACCGTTAAAAATCAGATCTTCTCCTCTTCCTCTACACGTATATGAAGTTTTGATCATATTTACCTCCAAGCTCCATTCGGATTTTGTATTCTGAGACTAGTTTGCCTTCTAGGTCTTCATGTGCTTGGGTTAATAACACTTGGTCGTCTACAAAATATAGTGTGTATAATATGTTGTTTTGTGTTAATGAAATTCGTATATTTTTACACTTCTTCTTCCAGAGTTTTACGGCATGTTTCAAGTACATTTTAAATAGGATCGACAAGGGACAGGGTGCCTGTTTTTGATATTTATTTGTCTTAAATGGATTTGGCATTTTCGCTTTTATAAAGGTGTTTCTGTATAACTTTTACATAATTTATTAGGGCAACACTAATGTTCGTACTTTCTAGGAATTTCCACAGTTTTGTTTGAAGAGCACTGTCATAGACTTTTCTCAGATCGACAAATAAGATGTGTTTCTTGATTAAATGCACATTTATTTTCCATTGATTTCTTCTTCTTAATGCACCATGTCCTTTCATAGCTGACTTAATTTTATTCACTGCTACCCTAAATAGCAATCTTATATTAATCCCATACCAATCTCGCAAGGTCTTCCACCATGAAGTCTTTCTTCGTCCTGGACTGAGTTTACCTTGCATGTTAACGGCTAAATTATGGAATAATATCATTATTTCGAGAACCGTCAGGTTTTTAGGGAAATCCCGAAACAGGTCGATTTTTGTTATAAAATATCCATCTTATAGCGTACATGGAGTAGGGGTGACGTCACCGGTTAGGTTGTAGTGATATAATCGTTAATTTTATTAAATAGAAATCGGTATAATGTGACACCTCATTTCAAGGAGAATTAAAGCGACTATTTAGCGACATTACATTTTTAACTAAAATATTTTTTTAAGGGTACAAAAACAATTTTTTAACGCATAGAAATTAATTCTTAGCGGATGCGGAAATAAAAAAGAATACAGAACGAGGTATGCAATTTATTCAACGCAAAATATCCAGACGAGCCCATCAGCCAATCAACAGTAAGTAAAATAGTCCGAAAATTTGGAAAAACTGGGCAAGTTAAACATATTCCAAACGCTGGGCGTCCTAAAATTGAAGACAATGTAAAACTTAATATTTTATTGACAATCCTCACAGTGGTTCAACACAAATGGGTGAATATGCTGGAGTTTTCCAACGATCGGTATTACGTATTTAAAAAAAAAGAAAAATACCATCCCTACAAAATTAAACTACATCAGGAATTAAACGACGACGATCCCGATCGCCGGTTTCAATTTTCTGAAATTATGCAGGATTTATATATCCACAATCCACATTTCATCAATCAAATCCTTTTTTCCGATGAAGCCACATTTTTTATTTATACACGGTACCGTGAATCGTCAAAGTTGCAGATATTGGAGTCAAGAAAACCTACATTGGATAACTGAGTCACATACACAATATCCTCAGAAAGTAAATGTATGGGCAGGGATCATTAATGACAGAATCATTGGCCCTTTTTCTTTGAAGAAAATCTAATAGGAGAACGGTATTTAACTTTTTTGAGAAATCAACTTATACCTGTTCCTGCTAACATATATCCAAATGCCAATAATCCAAATTTACCTAGTGAAAATATCTGGTTTCAACAAGAAGAAGCTCCTTCGCATTCCTCACAGGAAGTACGTCAATTTTTAAGTCGTTGCTTTCCCAGGAGGTGGATCGAAAGACGAGGTTATATAGAGTGGCCAGCAAGGTCGCCAGATCTAACACCTCTAGACTTTTTCCTGTGGGGTTACATAATATCAAAAGTTTATGCCAATAGACCCTAAAACTTACAGGATTTGAAAGATAAAATTAGGCATGAAATGAGTCTAATTACTCCAGAAGTCATCTGCAATGTACTTGATGAATGTGTCCGTAGATTCGCATATTGTCAAGAAACCGATGGATGGCATTTCGAACATTTAATTTAAAATAAATCCGTACCTCGGAGGTAAAGGACACTATGTCCATTTTCTTAATTTTTAAGGAGAGCAGTTTTAACATTTTTTAAATTTGTAATCAGTAAATACTCAAATGTTTCTGATATTTAACCAAAATTAATATATTATATTAACTGATCTCCTTAAAAAGTAAGAAAATGGACATAGTGTCCTTTACCTCCGAGGTACGGAAATATTATTCATAATTTGGTTACTTTAAAGTACATTATTATTTAAATCATTAATTGTAATTTAGTTGAATTTAAATTAAAAACAATTGTTTTTGTACCATTAAAAAAATATTTTAGTTAAAAATGTAAGGTCGTTTAATAGATAATTAAATTCTCCTTCAAATCAGGTGTCGCATTATACTGATTTCTATGTAAAAACATTAACGATTACGTCACTACACGCACTCCGGTGGCGTCATCTCTACTCCATGTACGTTACAACATGGATATTTTATAACAAAAATCGACCTGCTTCGGAATTTCCCTCAAAACTCTACGGTTCTCGAAATAATGATAATATTCCATAATTTAGCCGTTCACTGTATATTATTTATAAGTAAAAATGACGTTTAATTATTTGCATATTTTGTTTACTCCATATTTCTATCTCCAAAGTTGTCAAAACCAGTTGTTAGAGACCTGTCTCAAGAATATCATGAGAAAATCAAGTTCGCTGGTCTTAACATGTTCGAGTAATTTCCTTTTACGTATTTCAGCATTTCAATATTACAAATCTGATTCTGCATAATAATAATCCATTATCTATCACTATGTTGGCTAATGACTACGTTTTTAGAGTATGTATTTTTATAGGATATAATGTAGTTTCCTATAACTGATTTTCGCTTTCTTGTATCTGTCTACAAGGTATATGTATGTTGAAGTTTATGTTTGTCAATCGTATTGTGAATGGTATCACATCTTCATTAAATGTTTTTCAAACTTGACTTACTAAAAGTTTATCTAAATTAAAACGTATGTTTACATTTAAATTGTTGCTAAAAAGTATTTATATTGTCAATAATTTTATGAACTACAATAAAGAAACTGACATTTTTTTAAACTACTTTTTGTTTGAAAAAATAAATATGGTAATCTATAACACTGTTTTTAATTCATATTTCAAGTTTAAATAGTGAGTTTTTGTCCAATATGTATCTGGAAAATCAGAATCCGTTTCACGAAAACTAAAAGAAAATCCTTCTGCAACCAATTTAAAAAAAAAAAACAAGAAAATATAGATCATTACAATAGTAAGCAAAATATCACAAAACAACAAAAAAAACTAAAATAGTTATCCTCTATTATCTCCAATTTGTATACGTTGTCCCTCTAGAGTTAATCGGGGCCAAATCACTAAAATTTGGCAAAGACGACACGGTAGATCCGAACCGAATTCCCCTCCCGTTCCCTGCTACTCGGCCAGCCGAGGAGGTAAGTGGGTAAGGCCAGCGGGGTGGTGTCACAGTCATCGGGGACTCACCGATCGACTGTGGCGCCACCCTAAGTCACCTATACCGACGAAAAGTTAGGTTAAGTGACTTTATCTTAAGTTTAAGTTTTTCCAGTATATCCAAATGACAGTTTGCGGTTTTGCCAGTGGTCTACGAATATTTTATGAGGTCGTTATCGATTTTGTAGGAAATTTGTAAACTTCAGTGTTGCTCAAATTGTGATTTGGAAGTTTTGGGTTGAGTTTCGTCAATCTCGATTGAAAAAGCTTAATCTAAAGTTTTTTTATTTATTTACCTTCTTTGATGATAAAGAGGAAATAGTAAAATTACTCAAAGTTTCGTAAAATGGTTTATTCTTTGGGAACTGATGACGTAAGTTAATTTCTTTATGTGAATTATTTTGTTCAAGGCCTTTACAGGGTATAATTTATTTTGAGTAATTTTCTAGCATGATCATTTTCATTTTACAAAATATAATATTTTATTATTATATAATAAATATTGAAAAGTATGTCCCCTGTTAATTACATTTACATATTGAATGATATATTGTCGTTTCCTTTTACTTATTGTTAAGTTTTTATTTTGTATAAACGTCTGAAGGAGAATGTCTCCATATCTCCACTTTCTTTATTACATTACTTAACTTAATTATTAAAATAAAAATTCTTTTGTATTATTGTGATGGGGGTTCGGTTACCTCAAACCAGCGGATTTCTTAAACTAGAATTCTTACAAAAAATGCTAATTATCGTTATCAGCACCAGAATACCAGATGTTGATATAATTTATTATTGTTCCATTTTTCTTCGTTTTTGTGTTTATAGCCCAGGCTATCGATGAAAAAGTGTGAATAATTATTATCAGTGAATTGCTGAAACCTACTCTGTGTTATAAAGAGCCATGTCAGGAACAACTCCTCTGTCCTTGCAATTTCAAAGTTTTGGTTAATATTTGTTATTTTCAGACATTAAAGAGGAAAAATATGCACTTTTTGATTCAGATTGTTCTGAAGCTTACGGTGTGACTTTATAAAATATAGGCATAAAATCATAAAAGGACATTGAATAAGCTTTAATTGAAGCTTTTATAAGTTTAACAGTAATCAATTGTTACTGCAAAATTAGCGCTCAAATTAAAAAAAAAACGGTACTTTATAAAAATACCCATATTTTTTGTAAAAATAATAATTTTTAGTGTATTTCAGACTATGAAAAGGCATTTGACAGAGTTCAACATCAAAAGATGGTTAACATTTTAAAAGAGGCAGACCTGGATGACAAAGACCTCAGAATAATTTCAGAACTCTATTGGAATCAGACCGCATACATGAAAATTAACGGAGAAGAAACAGATCACATAAAAATACTACGTGGAGTTAGATAGGGATGTATCCTATCGCCGTTGATATTTAATATGTACTCAGAGAAATTTTTTAACGAGGCTATTTACGGAATAGACGAAGGCATCCTTCTAAATGGTGAAAGAGTAAACAATGTTAGATATGCTGACGACACCATGGTAATAGCAGATAGTTTAGAGGGACTTCAGAGGCTAATGGACAGAATAAACGAGTACAGTCAACAGTACGGACTAAACATTAATACCCACAAAACGAAACAAATGATTATCAGCAAGGAGAATATAAACGGGGCTCATCTATACATTAATGGGACGCAGATAGAGCGAGTAAAACAGTATTGCTACCTGGGAACTATTATAAACGAACAGTGGAGCAATGTACAGGAAATAAAGTGCCGCATAGGAAAGGCAAGAACGGTCTTTAACAAAATGAGCGCCATCTTCAAAAGTCACAACATATCCCTAGATACAAAAATGAGACATTTGAGATGCTATGTTTTCTCTATGTTGTTGTACGGGCGGAGGCATGGACGCTTACAGACGCCACTATTAAAAAACTTGAAGCATTTGAGATGTGGCTTTATAGAAGAATACTGAGAATATCATGGACAGCAAGGATCACGAACAAGGAAGTTTTAGGAAAAATGAAGAAGGAACCACAGATTGAGTTTACGATAAAACGCTGAAAATTGCAATATCTGGGACACGTTATGAGAAATCAGCACCGTTACTCCCTACTGCAGTCTATATTGCAAGGTAAAGTCAAAGATAAGCGAGGACCCGGGAGAAGGAGAATATCATGGCTGCGGAATTTAAGAACATGTTTTAAGAAAACCTCAACGGAGCTGTTTCGAGCCGCAGCGAGCAAGGTTATGATTGCCAATATGATTTCCAACATCCGAAACGGATAGGAACCAGAAGAAGAAGTTACTCTCCATCTCCCGTACCACCTGTTGACCAGGCCAAGGTGATTTTAAGCGTACCTACATAGAGCATCTGCGTCTCAAAGTGATGCCCTGAACTGAAAATTAGTGAAAATGTTTGTATAGCGATATTAGGAAGTTCCAGGTCAATTGGCCAATGGGAAGACTTTCTAGGCGGGGCGATGTGCATCAGCGTACGTACTAGTCAGTGAACCAAGGCACGCGTAGGCCCTTTGGGTATTTTTTTTAAAGCTATAGTTGTACTTTTTCTTCTTGAGATAAACAAATTATTATATCCTAGCAAAAAATGAACGAATCCGATTTCACAAAATCTCATTTTGTTGTGCATTAAATAATAATATATGAACAATTATTATATAAGCATTTCCATAAAAAAAATATAGTCATTTTCAGAAAGTACCAATTTTCAACTTTGAGCCCTAATTATGCAATAACAATGGTCGAAAAAAAAAGCTCATAATAAAGCTTATGATTTTATAGCTATATTTTACAAAATGTCGTACCTTAGGCTTTGCAACAATGCGTACAAAGTACAAAGTACGTTTTATAAGTAGGTACCCTTCAAAGTCTTATAAATTAATAACCAAAAATTTTATGTTGCACGGTCTGGGGAATTGTTTCAGACATCGTCCTTTATAACACAAAAATTCACTAATTAGTGCATAAAATCGATCTTTTTTTAACCCAAACGACAATCTGGGCTACTGACATGAAATTAGGTCCGCCGAAGGTTCGCGAGTTCTAGTTCCGAGAAAAAAATCACAATTGAACAATATAACATCCTTCAAATATCCGTCGCTGCTTCACTAGGTGACGCTCATCCGAAATGTCCAATTTTTCATGCTCTGGTTCATAAATCAGGCTGAATTTAATCATTGACATGGGATTTGTTAGCTTTGATGTCCGCTGTGGTTTGTGACTTATTGGCATTGATCTGCGACTTAATAAAACCCAACAAGAAAGAGCCCACCGAGATAGGACAGTTCACATCATCCCCACGTAAGATGACCATGCCCTCAAATAGCGCGTAGAGAATATCCAGTGTGGAACGAGCTGTGTAGCACGTTTAGGTGATGACCTGGTCAACGTCTTTCTTAAAGAAATTTGGGCCGCCAGCCCAAAATCCACACCAAAAAGTGACTTTTCCGGGATGCATGAGATACCCTTAACTTTTAAAGTTCGGAAGTCCCTATTGGAAGATCCTTTATGGTACGCTTCCCCTATGAAAATTATTTTATTCCAGACGTTCTAAAAAATTCCGACACCAATCTATTAGTTGGTTATTGGAGGTTTTTATGCTTCGCATAGTTGCTTCAATTATAGCAACTATAGGATAATTTAATAAAAAATCTCTTTAATAATTTTTAATGTAAACAATAGTTGGACTACGACTTGATGAAGGTAACAAATAATTTAAATTTTAACTTAAATATCAAGGAAACTAATAAAAAAAATCTCGAAATGTTTTACAAAAATGAAAATGATCATATGTTTTAAAAAATCTGTAGTTGTTTTACATTTCTATTTTGTTTATATAAAAAAAATCTTTAAGATCTGCAAAATATATTATATTTAATATTTTTTATACATAATCAATCTCAAGAGTATTTTAATTATTTTTTATAATTTTCTTCATAATTGTTACATTAATTTATAATATAATCTTCTAGGAAAGAGATTTATTCTCTTTATATATAATTCTCTCTATACAATTCATGACTAAATTAAAAATTAATCCATTAGACACTGGTATGATTATAGAATGTGTAAGTTAAATTAAAATAGATAAGAAATTTTATTAAAGAAAAACAGAACAAAAATTTAATTTTCCAGTAGCTACAATAAATATCTTTATTATCTTTTCTTCATCATTTTCTACTATATATGTACCTTGTATATTTATAATAAATACTTGGTTAGGTAACCTTATGAACTATAATCAGAAATTGGTAAAACTTTTTACTTATAACTCTATCTAACTACAACTTTGTAGAACAGCTACAGTTAGTGCAATGTATCACAAGAAAAACAAAGTAATGCTAACGTATTCACGTGTTTTATTAAATCCAGTCAGCGTGAGAAAACTTGGCAGCCAAAAGTTTCCTGTGATACATTCAAATTTTTTTGAGAAATCGATATTGTCAAGCAACAGTAACAATCCTATTATTATAAAAATATAAATAAATACAATCTTTAAGAGTGTACCAGAAATTCTCGCGAGATTATTGGCTTTTGTGTACCCCATAAATTTTATTTTTGGCTAGTGTTCAACCTATTAATAAAATCGCTTCACGACTTGCTTATATTGGAAGGATTAATATCGAAAGGAAATCATGGAATGTTGCTGTTCCTTGCAGATATTTCGAAAGTAAACCTTGTAAACCAAATTCATATTAATATAAGTGATGGAATGGATCGCCCGATACTACTTGTTGAAAGTTTGTACTATAAATAAAACACTATGTAATAAAACTTTTGTATCTACATTAATTAGGGCAATGTTTTTTGGTAGGTCCACGAGACTTCTTGGTGTTTTATGTACCATGTTTAATGATCTACCAGTTCTTTTTAAATTTCACTATTTGCTCTATTTCTTTTTCAGAATAATTTCACAATTACAATTTTGAACATTCAGAGTGTCAATTAAGAGGTTTAGTACTGGAAAAATTTACTAAAACAAAAAATTGATAGTTATTACAACGGCTTTTTTCATTCAAATGAGTTGGCTACAAAGAATCTCACATTGATCTTTTTGCAGCACAGTCCAGAAAAAAAAAATATATGATTTGAACTGTTAGAAGAAGCAATAGCAATATTTTCCGAACAAGAATTTCAATTAAGATAGAACATACTAGATAAATGTGAGATGTGGAAAAGGTAGAAGGACAAAATGATACAATAGTCCATTGTTGTACGGAATTTAAGAATTCCTCCTGATAAAAAATTTGGAAAATTTATACCAAATACTTCAAAGAATATCGGGCTATGTCGGTTTCATTTTTATTCGCGAACCACAAATCTTCGACTATGCGTAGGTAGGAACAGTTTTGACAAATGAGGAGGTGTATTTCTTCAAAATCACAGTTTACATCATCTTGGTCTCTTTTCCCCCATTTAATCATCTTTGTTTTTACTTTAGCGACTTACGTTCTAATCCTATTCCAGGTCTTCCATGTTTTAAAGTTTAGCATGTGGCCGATCGAGCCATCTTTGTTTTTACTTTAGCGACTTACGTTCTAATCCTATTCCAGGTCTTCCATGTTTTAAAGTTTAGCATGTGGCCGATCGAGCCTGGAGAAGGGGGACATTTTCTGGCGACTCAGCTTTCACTGTTCAGGAATTTCACTCATTTCGGTGGTGTTCCGAGATTTCTGAAGGTCGTGACGCTCATCTGCGATTTGTTTAATTTTCCCTACATTTTCTGCTGCTCTTCTGCGAGTTATAGGATCTGCAGCACCTGCTGGTTTATAGTGATTTGAAAGAGGTGTTGGTCTCATAGACACCGAGGTCACATCTATTTCTTGGGTATGAGCAGATCTATTCCACCTACCATGTTGGCAAAAAATGAGTGGATGACACAAGAAATTCTAGATCTGATGGAAGTTCGACGGCAACACAAAAATAGAAATATTATCGAATATCGTGAAATTAATAAACGCATAAAAAGAAAAATTAAGCAAGCGAAAGAATCCTGGCTTGAGAATTTATGTAAAGAAATAGAAGACCTCCAAAAAAAGCATGACAGCTTCAACCTGCATAAGAAACTTAAATATACTGCCGGAATTAGAAAACAGAAAAATGCTCACATACTTAAAAGCGCGGACGGAAAAATTTGTGATCACGAACAACAGTGCAAAGAATGGGAGAGATACATCACTGACCTTTTTGACGATGCTTCTAGGGAAAATGCTCCAAATACTGCCTATGACAACCAGTTGGACAGAGGTCCCAATATACTGAATTCGGAAGTCGAAAAGGCAATACAGCAAGCCAAAAACAATAAAGCACCTGGACCAGATCAAATCCCTGCCGAACTACTTAAACTTTTGGATGAGGAAAGCATTGCCTGCTTAACCACTTTCTTCAACAAAATTTACAACGAAGGAAAAATACCAGATGATTGGTTAGAGTCACTGTTTATAACATTACCAAAGAAAAGCAGGCCCACCAAATGCAGCGATTTTAGACTAATCAGTTTGATGAATCACACACTGAAGATACTCTTACGAATTATACAAAACCGAGTATTCCTTCTATGCGAAAGTAAGATGGGTGATAAGCAATTTGGATTTAGAAACGGTCTAGGAACTAGAGAGGCACTATTCTGTATGCGCGTTCTATTACAAAAAAGTTGTGAATTCCGAAAGAATGTTTATGTTTGTTTCATTGACTTCGAGAAGGCGTTCGACAGAGTCCAACACAATACACTTTTCGACTGCCTACGGGCAGCAGGACTTGACCACTATGATATAAGACTGCTGAAATACTTATATTACAATCAAGTAGCCTCTATCCAAATTGGAGACAGTCCCACTGAAAAAATACCCATCAAACGTGGAGTACGGCAGGGTTGTGTTTTGTCACCCACTCTTTTTAATCTGTACTCTGAAGAAATCTTTAGGGAGGCTTTGGATGACAGACAAGAGGGAGTAAGACTAGGTGGAGAAGTAATCAACAATATTAGATACGCTGACGATACAGCCATTCTTGCAGAAAGTTTACAAGATCTCCAAACATTACTAAATCTAGTCAGTGAAGCAAGTTATCGGAGAGGCCTAAAAATCAACATTTCAAAGACAAAGTGGATGGCAGTTGGAAAGATCCATATAGATCAAGGTCTGCTTTCTCTTAATGGAGAAGAGATAGAAAGGGTAAATCATTTCAAATACCTTGGCAGCTGGTTAAATGTAAATTGTGACTCTGATGAAGAGATAATATCCAGGATCGAAATATCACGTAAGGCTTTTATGACCTGGAAACCAGTTTTATGCAACAGAAACCTGTCAATGAACATTCGTAAGAAGGTCCTGAAATGTTATGTGTGGTCGATCCTATTGTATGGTTGTGAGACATGGACGTTAAAAACCACAATGCGAAACAAGTTAGAAGCATTCGAAATGTGGTGCTATAGACGAATCCTAAAGATATCGTGGGTTTCGCACACTTCCAATGAAGATGTTCTTCAAATGATCAACTCAGAACGTCTGCTCATAAACATCATAAAGAGGAGAAAAACAGAATACTTCGGCCAAATAATTAGAGGACCCAAATACCATTTACTTCGCCTTATAATACAAGGAAAAGTGGAAGGAAAGAGATGGATTGGTCGAAAGAAACTTTCATGGCTGCGTAATATTAGACAATGGTGTGGTTTCACAGTAGAAGAATTATTTCGCGCAGCAGCCGACAGAGAAAGGTTTCAGGAAATTGTAAGCATGATGACGGCCAACGTCTGAATACGGACACGGCACCCAAAGAAGAAGAAGATTCCAGGCGAGACACGCATATTCAGCGGGTATTGAGAAGCTAACTGCCGTTGCTATTGTTCTTAGGACACCAGCGCGTTCACCCAATTTGCTAGCTGTAAGTCGATTGTTTGTGGTGATTACTTTTTGTCTCGTTTTGATACAGTGGTGTTTATAGGTTAAGGCAGGTCCAGAAGCACTCCAAGATTTTTAGATTGGTCTGTGTCGTTAGCGTTCCATGTAATTTGTAGTTTTTAGCGTATGTGAGGAAATTCTGTTGGTAATACGTGTTCTTTGTTCTTAAGGTATTTTCAAGGTTTATTTTAGGTCTAATTTTTTTAATGAGTATACGGTCCGTGACCAGGAAAAGGCTGTACAAGCACTAGACCTGTCCAACCTGTTTTAGATTTCCAGAATCCTGGAATAAGTATCATGAATACGATATTGCAGTTTTAAATTTACATTTAGTTAGGGAATTACATCTACTTTGTAGTTTCTTTACTTCGTGGCATTATGCCGTTCGCGAGTTTCCTGTTTCCCGATTAGGCTTTCCTTTCGGATATCCAGCTAGCATTTATCTCCAGCCTTATCCGATATAAGAACACTGCTAGACAAAGAGTTTTTCTGGAACAAATTCTTTCGAAGATCAATGCAGGTGCCAGATCAGCGAGAACAGAAACCTCGCCTAGAGCAAAAGAACAAAAGCTGGCTTGAAGAGTTTTTAGCAAGAGCTATTAGAAATCTTACTACAGAGATAATTGACTTGTGGCGGCCAAGCATTCATGACGACGCCTCTTTTTGATCTTTCGATGACTCTTCTTATTATTACGAAGCAGAATTTGCTAAGGGTTGGGTTGTTCACCCATAGGTATGAGATTGTTCACCAACAGGAAACGTAAACTGGGTTTAGGCCGTTATGAGCCACTTTAGTAATCCTGCTCAGTACGAGAGGAACCGCAGATTCGGACAGTTAGTGCATTTATACATGTGTCTTCGAACATTTGGTTTACTCGAGAGGGTAATTATCATCCGTGGGATTATGCCTGAGCGCCTTTAAGACTATATTCTTTCTAGTCAAAGCTGGCAATGATGTATCTTGTAAGGCCGATAGTCAAAGGGCTCAAAACAAAGTAACTTTATTAGGCAATCGTAGTTCGCTACGATTCTCGCACTTGCTGTAGTGGAATTATTAAGAACATTAAAAATTGCGGAGGTTATCGTTAAAAACCATTTTCTTTTTCGGTAAAATTTTCGGAGAATCTATATTTTTGTTGTCAATTTATCATGAGCCATGAAAATGTCGTATATGCTTTCGTTTAAGTCTTTAAAATTGAAAAAAATGATGGGAAATCATGACCAGAAGTTCTTGTACTGATATTTTCAAATTGCAATGCAATTTCTACAAAAAGAACGTGGTTCAACTGATGTTATCAAAAATGTAAGACAACATGATAATTGCCAAAAATTTTTTCCAATAATAGACTCAAAAAGGTACGTTGATAATGGTCATTTAATTGGAATTCTTAATTTTAATATTTCATCCCCTAAATAGTCCGATAAAATTCTTAACTCTTCGACGGAAAATAATGAACTACAAATCGGCATTACTGTGAAACCTACCTTAAAGAAGATAAATATTGTATAAGGTAGATGGTTCGAGAATTTAACAGTTTTTTTAAATTTATTATGAAGCATTTTTTCAAACTAGTATTATCTATTTTTGGTATAGATCCGAAAAGACCTGTACCTAATGTAAATTCAGTTTTATATAAAATAAATAAATTTAAATATTTTTGGAAAATTTTCATTTACTTTTTTTTTAATTATAAAAATCAACTTTTTGAGATCGAACATTTTTTATGTTTTTTGGATCATTCTGAACAAAAAAGGTCTCTTGCAATTTTTTTCTAAAGTTGATTCTTTTCGAGTTAGAAACAATTTAAAATTGAAAATTTTTGATTTGATTTTTGAAATCACGAAACACCTAAATTCAAGCGTAAACCTTCAATTCGATGAGTATTTTGGGCTTATTTTATTTTAAAACATTGTTTTTTAATTATTATTGAACCGCTTACAAAAAAAAATCACATGGAGGCAGCTCGGGCTGTCGAACAGCGTGGACATATTTCAAAAATATAATTTAATTTTAATTTATAGAAGCAAGAATTCCTAAATATTTTGAGAATTCCTTAATATTGATGAATAGATACAGTATTTCTTAAATTTGTTTCATATATTTAATATTAATATGAATTTGGTGAAAATTTTTTGTTAGTAAGTAGGGGGAATGTGATAGTTCCCTAATAAGTTCAGTAAAACCACTCGCTTGATAACCACAAACTTTAATGAAAACGAGTTGTTTTAATGAACTTTTAAGACAAAAATCATTTAATAATCATAATGATTTCGATGTAGGTAAATAATGCAACTGCAAGAGTACAAACCAAAAAACCTCCAGCGTTACCAACAGGTAAGTGATAATCTTATCATCGATTTGATAGCTTCATAAGGTATTAAGTATGTTTTCTGGAAATAAAAATACATTTGCTTTGTAGGTTTGTAGATTTATATAAAAGCTCTCTTACTTAAAAAAATAATAATAACTGTAGAGATCTAATCGTGTATAAACTGCAAAAGATAAAATTACTGTTATTTATGATATTACTCTATGGTATTACAAATAAGGTACAAAGTATGTCTAAAATCAGTATCTTATCAACAATAAGCACATCGATTTCTGTATGCAGAGTGGCACAAAAGTCTGGAAACGGCCAATTATCTCTTAAATTACCAGTCATAATTGTACAAAATTTGAGGTACACCTCAATTTTGGGATAAGGAGATTCCATATTTGATATTTGAAATGTTGCCAGATTTGCCATTTCTCTTATATTATTAGTAACTTGGTTTTTCAAATTCATCACCCTGTATATTCAGTCATTATTGGAATCTCCTATTCAATACGAGTTCAACCATATGTAACACTTATGATTTTTTGTAGTCTGGAAGGTCTTAAATACATAAAACAGTAAAATATGTAGATTTTGTGACCTTGGAAACCTTTTTTGGATGGTGCTAAAAAGTTGGAGACCAGGAAATTCCTAAAAATTGGAATAAATCTTATATAAGCTCCATATATAAGAGAGGGAATAAAAGAGACTGTTCCAATTATAGAGGTATTAGTGTGACGAGCTTTGTGAGCTGGTTGTACAGCAGAATATCAAAGAAGAGGGTTGACAGACAGATACAAGATATTGAAGAACAAAGCGGCTGTGGTACCGGGAAATCCTGCCTTTATAATATATTAATCCTACGACAAATAATTGAAAAGCGTGTCGAAAGAAGTAGAGAGACCCATTTGGTATTTATAGACCTTGAGAAAGCATATGATAGTGTCCCGTTAAAGAAAATGTTTGAGGTCCTCGAAAGGTCCGGATTGGATGCGACGTATATCCGAGCGATATATAAATTGTACGAAAATGCAGTTAGTTGTGTAAAAATTGGAACCAGAACTTCAAATGAATTTAAAGTCACTAAAGGCCTAAAGCAAGGATGCTGTTTGTCACCGACACTCTTTAAAATATACGTCCAAGAAGCATTGAGGAATTGGAGAAATAAATGTAGATTTATGGGCATCGAAGTGGGACAAGAAACTCTGTATACATTGTTGTTTGCAGATGATCAGGTGGTGGTTGCAACCGATGAGGAAGATATAAATTATATGAATCGAAAATTATTTGAGGAATATGCCAAATGGGGGCTTACTGTAAACATAAGCAACACAGAATATTTAAAAATTGGATGAAATACCACAGATCTGAAGCTTGAAAACGCAGTCATAAAAGGTTGCAACCAGTATAAATATCTAGGAAGCATCATATCAGCAGATGGCAGAGTTAAGATAGATGTACAAAACCGAATAACCCAAGGGAAAAAATGCATCCGAATACTGAATTAATTACTGTGGTCTAATAAAATAAAGATGCATACCAAACTTCGTGTATACAGAGCAATTGTAGACCCGCTTACCACATATGGTACCCAATGTTGGACGATGACAAAGAATGAACGAGATAAAGTAGACGTTGTGGAAATGGATTATCTTAGAAGGTCATGTCGAGTATCGAGAATGGAAAGAATCAGGAATGAGGAAATACGAAACCGTACAAGAATTAGACATACTCTTTCAGATAGAATACAAGGAAGGCAATTACAATGGTATGGTCACGTGATGAGAATGGAGGAGGAACGGTGGCCAAAGAAAACCTTAATGTATGTTCCGCCAGAAAGAAGGAAAAGGGGAAGACCACCAAAATCCTGGAGAAGAGAAATTACAAAAACAATGCAATCTAGAGGCTTAGAAGAGGGAGATTGGAGAGATAGGAAAAAATGAAGGCTGAAATGCGGAAAGCGGCAATCGCCGTAGGACCCCCGTTATATGATGATGGCGAATTGCGATATGATGATGGATGATAGTGAACTAAAAAGTTCACCAATGGAGACTCTGCGAACGGCAGCCAGATGGTTGGTGGGGAGCGAGTCGTGGGTTCGAAACTAGCTTTTTGGAACCGGAAATGGGTCCAACGGACGAAATAAGTAAAGATAAGACAAGATAATATATATTAGAAAAGGTACAGAAATAAACAAAATGATAGATGGGTAAAATTACCAAAGATAAGATAAGATAGAAACAGGGCGCCACATAACTTTTTGGGGTTTAAGGAGAAAATTAAGAAACCTTAGCAAAGAAAAGAGATAAGGAAAAGATATTTAGGTTCTGAGACCAAATTCAAGGAAAGATATCATCAGTTAATAATTAAATAAATTTGGTCAACACTCTACATAAACAAATAATAGATATCTTGAATGAATATCTAGAAGAGGCAACTGCATATGACAGAAAAAGATTGAAATTGGGGGCGGAGAAGCTGCGACAGCCGTAATCAATCCGTTATTATATTATATATTCTTTTTTTTTTCTATAGTTTCCGCTGCGGCACTTTCTATGCCGTTTGATATATTTTGCCATTGCTGGTGTATGGTCAATTCTGGCGTTGATGTTTCTTCTTCTTTCAGTGTCTGCAATTTGTTTTGGATCAGTGCCTGATATTGGCGTTCATTATCAGATAAATCGAGCCTTGAAATTACCCATCTGTTTCCTTGTTGCCGTTGCTTTGGCTGTCTCGTTTTTTTACCTTCTCATTTTTGTTCTGACCAGGAAGTGGTCAGAGTCACTTTCTGCTCCTCTCAGACTGTGTGCGCTGATGATATTGCTAGAATGTCTTCCATCGATAAACACGTGGTATATCTAGTTTATGTATGTTTTCTTTGGAATTGTGTAGCTTTTTCCTACCATATTGTTGGCTACAGCGAATTCTGTTAGACTTGATCCATTATCATTAGTGTTATCATGTAAGCTATGTGTGCCAATCACCGCTCTTTCACCTAGTTTGGCATTGAAGTCACCCAGTATGATTTCGACGTCGTATCTGGGTGCTGTTCTGTACTGTTGTTCTAAAATTTCATAAAATTCTTCCTTGTCGTTTTTATTTGCTTCTTCCGTTGGTGCGAGGATTGAGAGGAGGGATTGAGTCTTAGACAGCAAACAGGATGGAAATAACGTAATCCAGGCTTGGGCCATACTTTTCACCAAATGCATCTACTAAGGAAAAACACTTTCTCAAAGGAACAATGCAGTCATTGTTTTATTACACAAGAAAGGAGGCAGACAGAATAAAGTAAACTTTTATCTATAAAGTTATAAAACAATTTCATGTAGAAATGCTTGAAAACTGCAACAAAATCGACAGTAAAAATTAATTTATAAAATATGCAAATGTATTTTGTTCCTTTAAAACTTACCTCTTACAAATATATCAATCTTATCCTGTGTTTTTTCTTAGTCCCAGTGATACAATGGTCTGACGCGACGCTGCGAGCGGGAGTCGCCGCCATTCAACGCGGCAGGGCAAGAGCCGCGTATCCCTCAGCTGCAGCCGCAGCTGCTGCTGCAGCAGCTTTCGCCAGGCATCCAGCACCTCTCACAGCCGGCTCATTACACGGGTACACTCCAGTTTTAAATACCTTACCAGTGGATGGAGGAGTCTATTATGACCCGTTCCTAGCTGCGCACGCTGCTGACCAGAATTACTCAAGGCTGCAGGTAGGTTGACAAAATAAAAGGATGGTAAATCCAGACAATATAGTAAATATATGTATCTAGAATAGAAGTCTATACTGGGTGTATTGAATTATTGATTTTTATTCGATGTTTTTTGTTTTTGTTGTTGTATATAGATTGAAAATTATCTCACTTTCTACAAAAAATGGGTTTTAAAGGTTCCAATAAGAAAATCCCCAGTTGTATTCCTAAATATAATATATAGGGGTGTAAGTTTTGAGAATTAATGATTGTTTTATGGGTTGGAATGGTGCAGTGTCTCATTTTTGAGTTCTGACCAACATGTTTTATTAGATTTCCCTTTTCCCTTGATCTGCATCATTACATTCAGAGCAAACGAAATATTTAATAAAGATAATTATACAAATAACCCATTTAATTAAATTACCAAAGATCTTAACGCATGAATCTGGCTCAGGTGACCAAATTCACATTAAAAACACTAATGATTAGATCAAAATTTGAACTTCAGAGATTTTATGTTTGCTTTTCCCCATGTTACTGTTAGTTTTGACTCCAGCAAGACTCTTAATCCCAAGTGTATAAATTTTTCATATGTTTTCACTTCTACTTGAACCACCAACGAAATATGCACTGATTACGCTGATCTTGTCATCAGCTGTTGTTACAGCTCAGTTAGATTAGTTGGATTAGATGGGTGATTATATAAGCACCGGTAAAGACAACGGAGGATAGGTTATGCTTGACTTCCCAACCTTATTATTTCGCTACGTTTAAACTTAAACTCCATTTAAAACTTTACATCGTAAAGAAGCTAGATGCGATTCGTATTTTGGCAACAATTGGCGCCACGCTGATCCTGTTTTTTTACTTCAATCATTCACGCCAAACTTTTCATTTCTGCAACACTCATTCTTTGTCATTTTTTGCCATCATTCAGTGCCGTATATAATAGATTCATTTCATCCAACCTGCTCAAACTCTACTACACGCATCACCATACATAACTTCATCAACTCTAACCTCAAATAAAAATTCTAAGTATCATAAATTTGTTTTATCTAAGGTATTTTCCATGTTTTTTTATTAGGCGGGCTACACTATTCCAGCCTTTATTCTAACTCTCTTTCAATATTCCCTATAACACCTTATGATTAGTTTTAAGGGGAATGTTAATGTCATGTTATCTAATCCAATAATAGTGAGTTTAAATAAGAACTAAGTGCTGAACCCTGATTATAACATAAAGTTTATTAGTCTGTAACCTACCACAATGTTCACATAATCATCAGGAATTCCTTTCTTGTTCAGTCATCATCAGTGTCAATTATGAACCTCGTTAGGAGCCAAAGCCTTCATCAGAACAATCTTCCTTCCTTCCTTTTAAATATTCCCTCTAAGTTGCCTTGATACCTAAGTCTCGGTCTGTCTCTGGCTGGTTCTCCAATTGGCCTTCTTCGATCAAAAAGTTTACTGATACTTGCACCTTCCTCTCGCGTCTTCCTCTTTCGTCTGTCTCTATCTGTCTCTCTCTTTATCTTTCCTCTCTCTTTCTTTCTCTTTCCTCTCTCTTTCTTTCTCTTTTCTCTCTCCCTTTCTCAATTTGAATAAATTTTTCAACGTCAGGTTCTCCGAAACTTTAGCACAAAGTTGCAATACCTGCGGCACAGACCTTGCTACTTTATTCCTCCATATATTTTTCTTAGGATTTTTCGCTTGAAACGTTTAAGCAGTTCTTGGTCCTTCTGTGTATTGACCACGTTGCTGCTCCATATGTTATCACTTGTCTTATTGGTGTTTTATAGACGGTCACTTTAATTTCTTTGGTAGTTTTGAGGCCATCTTTTTCTCAAGCCATAGTAACATTTATTGGCAAGCACTATTCTTCTTTTAATTTCTACACTGACATAAATCCTGGTTGTCCAACACTGTATATCTGACAACTTGTACATATTTGTTAAAGATAGTGCCATTTTTGCTACTCTGGAACTCTTGAATTACCTTTCCTAGAGCAAGGTTAAATAAAAGACACAATAGCTCATCACCCTGTCATTAAGAACGTCTGAAGCCGGCGCTGGACGTGACAGCATGCGGTACGTCGTTGGCAGGGTGTTGAGGAGGCGGGTTGGTTAATAGTCGCTGTGTGCATAGCTTCTTTATATTTAGGTCAGTGTTCTTTTATGTCTAGATTTTCGTCAATTTCTGACAACGCTTCTTTTAAAATTTGCAAGTAAGTATCTCTAGCGGTTTCAGATTTTAGCACCTCGGTATTATATTTCTTAGAATTTGTGCTGTGGCCTTTTTTAGCGATACATCCACGTGCTCTCAAGTTTTCCTCTTACAAGACAGTGGTTAGAGTCTATATTAGCACTTCTACATGCTCTCGCGTCCAATACGCTTGAGAAATGTCGACTGTCAATAAGTACGTGGTCAATTTGGTTTCTTATCTGACTGTCTGGTGAGTGCCATTGTCTCTTGACCGACTTTAGCGTTAAGATCGCCAATAATAATTTTGACGTTGTTGTTCTGAAACTGAATATAAGTGCTTTTCGGTTTCTCATAATATGTCCTTCTCCTCGTCTTCTTTATCTTCAGTGAGAACATGAATATGGATGATACCGTAGTTAAAGAACCTGCCTTCTTCGAATTCTACTTATCCTTGAACTATTCTGTCGAAGTCCTTTTTTTCCAGGTTGCCACTACCTGTCCACCTGATTTCTTGAAGTGCTATGATGTTTATTAAGTATTTATCTAGTGTTTTTGAACGCCTTCTTAACTTCCTTATTTCGTTGGCAAAGTTATCAGCAAAAAAACCGTCCAGAGTGCCCTGAACTTTCCGTAACATAAGTTTTTCTATAGGAGGGGGTTGTTAACCCACTGCCGAACCCCTAAGCTAGAGGACAAGAATTTTTTATCAGGGTCAATTTGTTACAATTTTAAGGCGCTAGAAACTCACATTTTACCCACTCTCATCTGCTATATAACGTTCATCCACTGTACGCCATACACCCACTGCAAACACGGTAACACTTCGGGCACGTGAGAGTATGATGTCCTCGCAGAAGTTTAGTTCTATTTCTAGAACCTCCGACTCTTTCGTCGGAAATGATAGAAATTACTCGGAGTTTTATTATAGTAGGAACATCGGCAAACTATACTGCAATGTCCTTTACCAACTTCAAAACACCTTTCTTATTCAGTTCCAAGCACATATCCTACCGTGGTATTGTATGTTCTGTTTTCTCGAGATTGAGTAAACCATATGAACGTTTGTTTATTTATTTCTATGATTTCCAGAACAATCAGTTTATAATCTGGTCATCAATCGATCATATTACTCAATCAAGATATTCGGTCTCTTCGCACAGTTTTTATTATGACAATCACTACGATACAATACCCACGATATCGAGTGAATTGTAAAAGTTTTCATATTGTTTTGTTTCCCCACTGTATACCATCCCATAAAACATTTGTTAATAATACGCAATAGTTACAAGGCTAACTACAAAATAACATTTTTATCAACTATTAGAAAAATGTTTTTTTATATTATTCTTCCTCTCGTTAAGTAGTACGTATTCATTTCATATTTCTTTAATATTTTATGTTAACGGGTTAATGTGCATCTTCTTGAATGTGTTAATAGACGGCATGTCGTCACTGACCATTAAATGTCAATAATCATAACTCATTTCTATTATAAATGTGCAAGGTTTATAGGTGCAAATAGTAGTATTGCATTGTAGTATGATAACTATTTAAATTCATTCACAAATGCATAAAAATTTGTTGAATAGCTATACGAGCATCACCAAGTTTTTATGACTTTTACATACCTATATACTATTTTACAACCGACGGTTTCATAAATGTTGTGCACTATTTAAGGCAGTGTTTATAATAAGCATATCGTAACACACTTAATAAATTGTGTTTATAGTTAATAGAATAGTTTGTTCCAGCCATTCTTTTATGTAGCAGTTTCTTTTTTGGATTTGTTCTTGTTTTTTGCGGTTTTTTTCTTCTTGTATCAATTATTTGCACAATTTTACCCTTCTCAGAAATTTTTTCTGTATACGGTAACTTAAAGAATGCACTGAATAAGAATAGTACTTACTTAGTTTTCGGATTAAATTATTAGGTGTTCCAAAGATGAATAGAACACTGAAATGTATACCTAAATACCAACGAATATAGATGGGCCAACGTTCGCCCCAACAGCGTTCGTCCCAACAGCGTTCGTCCAATGTGTGTACCGACAAACTGTGCTGGAGCCAATGTTGGCGCCAACGTTGTTATGACTTGCTCCAACGTTGGGAGTTTTCCGTGGAGTGTCGGCTTTTGCCTACACATCAAAGGGATTCGCGCTCATATTGGTGTTGCCGTTGATTGATGCTTCAACCCAATGTGTAGATGTTTCACCGAACGTGGGAACACAGTTGGCCCAACTTTGGCTCCAACGTTGGCGCCAACGTTGGATCCCATGTGTGGAACCGGCCTTATAGAAGATTGCCTCTTGTGGAAACGATGTCCTCTTCAAATGTAAATAAACAAAATTTATAACCCGGTCACTAGAGGCGCTGAAAATTAAGTTGGTTGTAAAATTCCTACAAATTTCTGTCAATTGCTGTTACAATAACATTTGATCTACTGGTAAAACACACCGCTATTATTTTTATATATCTAGCATCAAAACCCAGATCGAGTAATTTTTTATTTTGTTATACAGTAAAACCTCGATATAAGAGACTACTTGGGGGGACAGGGTGTTCGTTAAAGCCGAAAATCAGTTATATAAAAATATGTTTTAAATCAAACAACTATTTTTTAAAAATATGTATGTACGCTGTATATATATATATATATATATATATATATATATATATATATATATATATATGAATAAAGTACAAGCCTGTGCATTAAGTGAACATTGTATTACAATGGGCCATACGCCTAACTATGATCAAACAGAAATATTGAGAAGGGAAAGAAATTACAACAAAAGACTGTTTCTA